CCCAGCCCATACCACTTTGTTTTTCTTGTGTCCTTTTTTTTTTTGTCTTCATTTATTTTTGGCCCAGCCAAGCCCGCCCCGCCCCTGCCCCTATGAGGGCTGGCCAAGCTAGGCCCGGCCATTTGCCACCCGTAACCACCTAATTCTAGATTTAACGCTTGGGATAGCATGTATCATGCTCCTTCGGGAGCATGGTATGGCAATACTCCATATGGCAATAGGCCATGGTGTGTTCTTGAATATGAAAAAAAAAAAAGGACAAAAATTGAATTTTTTTGCACAGTTTATTTGGGTGCCCTCGTCTTAACTTCCACTTTAAAGATGGACATGCGGTACAGGGGACGCATGCATCTCCTGACTTCAGATCACACTCCCCTAAATTAAAATTTGACAAGTCATTTTGTGCAGGATTGCAAAAAAGAGGCATCTGCTTAATTAATGTGAATTTCCACTTAAGCTCCTATAATTTGGTTTATTTTGTACTCGTGTGAACTTTTTTTTTCATCTAATTGTTCATTTTATTGGTGAATTTCAGTTTTAAATTCCGCGATTCAAATGTGAGAGTATCAATTGTCTTGGTCCAAATGAGAAAAGTGTTCCCCACTTTTGTTTGCCTTGGGAATATGTAGGGGCTAAATCCCTTTCTATTACCACAAAACCCCATATGCCACAGCTCAAGGTACTCCCATTTAGGGCTGACAGTGGGCAGGGCGGCCCATTCAAGCCCGGTTGGCCCATTCTGGCCTGGTCGGACTATTCTCGCCTAGTCGGCTGGGTCCTAAAAAAATAACGCCTGGAGCACAAATTGTGGCTCGAGAGCTGGGCTATGGCCAGTGCGGCCTGGTTCAGCCCTCTTTTTTTCTTTTTCTCTTCTATTGTTTTTTCATTTGTCTTTAACCGCCGAGGCTGGCCTGCCCCGTTGCCACACCCTTACTCCCATCGTATGGTGGCCCATTAACCATCCCCACCGTCTCAGAAGAAAGCATTTAAACCGAAAAGGAAATTGTTTATATAGAGCCATGGCTCTAAACAATCAAATTAAAGCCAAGGCTCTAAACAATCAAATTAAAGCCCACCTCAAAAATTGCACAAGAAGAGATTGTTTTGACGCCCAAATATCCTCAAATTAATTACCTCAACATCAAGATGCATGGACATCAGAAAAAATGGATTTCAAGTTTTGGAAATAGTACAACTTGTATTGCATTTTTGGACCGTCAATTTTCAAGATTTTCAAGCTTTCATAGATCTTCTTGATCTACACTATTTTTTAAGCTTAAATTTTATAATTAAAGATGAAAATATATTTTAAGTCTATCACAAAGATTTCTGGTATTTAAAATTACATTTCTTGACAATATTTGAGGGTGCGCTTTACTTTGATTGTTTAGGGCTTTAGCTCTATACAAACCACATTCTTTTAAAAGAAAGAAAGAAAAGTAGGCCACATATTTTCTATTATGGTAATAGGGGCATTACCCATCAAATATCGCTAGAAGAATTTTGAATTAATAGCCGAAGTGCGGACCAAGGCCTCCAAGTAAGGATGGAATATGGGAAGAGATTAGCATTTTAAGAGCAAACCCCTTAATTGCTTGAGGTATGTTTAATCATGGTAAACACTTCATATTATCCCTAAAAATACTTTTGGCATAGAGCTATGTTTGGAGAGGTTTACTACGAAGTATAATAGGGTTGAAAAAAGCAGAAGAAGGAAAAGTCGCAAAAGGATAACTTTTGGAAGATTGGATGGCCCCTCGGGAATTAATGGCTCGGATTGCCTTTGGAGTGTTAAAAAGCGGGAGGGATTTCTATGTGACCCCACCAACATATATGATATATGTGACTTTTGGTCTCAGCCCTGATCCCACCTACATATATGGTATATGTGACCTTTAGTCTCAGTCTTTAGATCTGAGTAGATGGTTGAGATGGTTTGAGTCACAATGTCAAAATCTAGTTTTTAACCATCAAATCTTGATTAGACAACTTATATTTTTTATTTTTTATTTTTATTCTATAAATAATTTTGAAGCAAAATTTAGGGCATACATAGATCTGACAGAAGCGCACATGGTAAAAATAATTAAAAAAAATTTCGGTGATAACAAATTATCAGAATACCCCTAAAAATTGTAGTTTGGTCATTTATATTTATATAAAATATTTTTACTTTATTTTTTCTAGGTTTGCCCTAATTTTATTATGGTACAACCCAAAATTTCATCAAAAAATGTTTTGTAGAAAACCATGAAAAATAAAACAATGTGTAGCATGACAATGTGGTAT